ATAAGCTGGCAAAATTCAAACAATTTGAGGTAATCAGTTAAAGGTGCAGTAGATGATCTTGGAAAATGTTAACTTTAGCCTGATAGCACTGAAAGCGAACGTCCCACCCTCCCTGCAATCGCCTTCCACAGAATATATAAATACAGACAAATACATTTAGACCACTTAACTGAATGATTGCTATCAGGATGTGAAGAGACTTTCAACCAGCATAACAAACAATGTTTCTGAAGACAATCACCTATTGCACCTTTAAGTAAAGAAATGCAAAGTTGAATTAAGCGAAACTGGCAGATTTATATTTTACATGTTAATCATTTGTTAAGCTAACTCGAACATTTAATTTAAAATTTTAAGTTTGGGAATCCCTGCATCACATGTATATGAAAAGTTGTGAATTTATGCATTTCAATGTGTTTGAGAGACAAAAGCCGTCCAAAGACATAGTAATACATAGTTAAACAACCCACTAAATAATAATTGAAATAAAAATTAGCGAATTGAAATGTATATAAGCAGTATAGGCTATTTTAGAAATGTAAAAGATGACAAAGAAGAATTAAAGAGAATAAATAAATTGCTATTATGTTGATAATATGTAATCATGTAATCATTAAAAAAGAAACTGTAGTCTGATTACAAGTATTTTAAAATGTACTTTAAAAAGTACTTAATTTTTGGAATCTGATTACATAATCAGATTACATGTAATCAGTTACTACCCAGCTCTGTATAGAAGTATATATTATATACAGAAAGGGACCAAAGATTATTTGCCAGCATCTATCTAGAATGAGTTTAAGCACTCTAAAAAAAAAAAAAACTTGTTATAATCACTGAGGCTGTCTACACTGTAGAGAGAATGTATCTATTACTTGCATCGTACGTTCATCATTACATTCATTTGGCATTTTGTTTCTTTAGGACAGTTAATTCATCAGTGTTAGTGGTTTTCAGCACACAGATGCTATTCTAACTGTACTGCACAAAGATGTGGTCATGTCTTGTTTTCTCGTGGCCGTTTGCCTTTAGGGGAAGTTTTTGCAGCTCAGTTGTATTTGGAGAGGTGTATGCTGCTTTTGGACCCACTTAGCCAATGTGATCCTTTCTGAATACAAACATCGTAAGCCCAGGCAAAACATTGGAAAGTGAATGAGTTCTGGAATGTTTGCGCTGCGTTAAAACGGCACTCCTGACTGAACCGGGGTCAGTGGCATAAAGCCCTTGATATGGTGTGGAAACACAAATGTGCGCTGGGGAGATATGAGCATTGCTGTTCAAATATACTTCCCCACGTGCAAAAAGAAAAGCAGCAGAACCGGATCCTAATCCTCTGAAAGCTATTGCAAAACTCTTGATAGCTATTTGCTACAAATAACGTGGGTTTGGGATAAATAACAGGCCTGAGCCTTGAGAAAGTATCGCTTGCCTATTTGGCTGGTCACACTTCTTAACTAGCTTAACCAGCAAGGGTTTTATGTCTTTGTCTTTTTATATTTATATTTATATGTAGGCACCATTTACAGATCTTCAAAACTAATTTCATGCATTTATGCATAAAGCTTTAGATCAAAAGGTTTTTAAGATCATGAGGAACATAAATGCGGTCAAATATTTTAACAACTTTTGACTGGCTGTGTATACTTGTATGTAAATATAATAATAATGTAATTACATACAAAATGCATTTTTGCTTTTAGCTTATTGCTTTTAGCTCATTTGCAGTTCGGTTAAATTGTCATGTGGTGTGATTAATGAATTTTTCACATTTTCATTATACAAATAATTGCATTTTGTCTCTCAATCAAAAATGCATGAAAATATTATACAAGATATCCTATATATGCTATTTTATAATATTAATATTTTAATTGAATATTTTTGCTTACCATTTCCTGCTTTTAGTTTATTTGCATTTCATTAAAGTTGTTCTGCGGTGTGACAAATGAATTTTTCACACATATTCATATTCAGTATATTCCATTTTGTTTTAGAAGTTTGTATTAAAATGATAAAAAAAATACATAAAAGTATTATGCAAGATATATATACTATTTTATAATATTATAAAATATTTTAAGGTCACAATCACTTGCTTCTAGTTTATTTGCAGTTTGCTTAAATTAAATAAATGTACATTAATTTATACTGCAGGACAATGTACAAATATTCAAATTTGTCTCTTAATAAAATGTAAAAAATAATAGTATAAAATAAAAATATAAACAAATAAAAAATTATAATATTATATCTTATTTTAATAGAATACTTGAACATCGTGCTTTTAGCTTATTTGGATTACATTTTAATTGTCCTATGAAAAATGAATATTACACATGTTCAATGTATAAATATTGCATTTTGTCTGTCAATAATGAAAAACTGCACAAAAATATTATACAAGATATATATACTATTTTATAATATTTTAATAAAATATTGTAAGGTCATCATTACTTGCTTTTAGCTTGTTTGCAGTTTAAATTGTCATGTGGTGTGACAAATTAAGTTTGCATATTAAAAGGTCAAATATTGCATTTTATCTTTAAAAATTATTACAAAATAATAAACTTCATTTAATATGAAGTATATCACTGATAGACGCTGCTGTCTAAGTTATGTAAATCCTAAACCAGCCTTAATCAATTGTTGGTCTTTTCAGCAAAGTCCATCCATGCAGACAGTTCTTGATGTTTGCAGGTTCATTTTGCATCGTTCAATCAATATGTACACAGTAAAGTCCATCATCCGAGTCTTAATAGGCTATTTATTATGACTCTTGGATGCAGAATGAACGTTTATTCCACATCTGCAATCTCCTCAGCTTGAAATGAATGACCCGTAAACAATACGACCATAATGAATAGTGCAAAACGCTTTATTCCTCCACTTCTCGAAATTGCCTGTGCCGTAGATCGCTCGGCCTCATATGGAGACGCATTAGCCGAGGTAAAATAGCTTGTAATTCGACAGAGTGAAGCTGGCGCAGAACCGAAATAAAAAGCAAAAGTGCAAAGACTTTGTACTGTGTTGGAGGTGGGATAAAAAGCATTCAGGAATGAAGACAAATAAAACGCTGTACTCCAGACAGCGAGCGTCTCTCTCCGTACTCACTGAGCCCAGACAACTACAAAGCAGAGCACAGGAGTCTGGGTAATTAGTGCTCAATTGGGTGTCAAATAAGAGGGGATGGCCTGCGTCCCCTTCCACAGACATCCACTTCTCTCTCCGGCTCGGAGATGTTTATTCAGCTGCTCTCGCCATCCAAACATGAGGCATAATTCACTATAATCACCGCAGTTACCGGCACACAGAAGCTCGTATTGAGCTAAATAAATTAATTAGGAACAAATTAAAGATGTTTGAGCAGATGCATTTTAAATGGGTGATATTCTACTCTTTTTGAAATCAACTTAAAATGTTAGTCAAGGTTTCATCAGCAAAAATGTTTTTTCAAGGACCTCAGAAATAAACAGCCTGTTTTGATACTGTACCTTTAAGATGATGTAAATGACCTTTGTTATTGGCTAAACTCCTCGCAAAAGTTGTTGAATACTGATTAGGTGTTGATAGGCAAAAGTGCATATCTATCTATCTGTCTATCCGTCTATCTATCTATCTATCTATCTATCTATCTATCTATCTATCTATCTGTCTATCTGTCTATCTATCTGTCTATCTGTCTATCTGTCT